AAGATATAATCAAGGATCAGTAAGTATTACTTTTTTTGTCGACAATGTATTATATTTGGTATATCATCGACAAGTACCAAAGTTCAGATAATGAAATCGATATACTTTAGTGTTTCTTTATGTGGAAGTTAGTATTTTATTTATGTAAGTAACATGGAGGGAGAATACGTAGAATGGAAAACATGACTGTAGTGCAACGTTAACTACTCTTGATTCCGTGCATGGAGCTAGCTTAGTTATCCTTTACATGAAAGTTTCACTTGAGGCCAAATTTTTAGCTTTAGAAGTAATTTACCTTTGAGTTTGAAGATTACAAAATCTATCCTTCCTCTAATATAGAAAGAGGTATTATAAAATCTTTCAATCCAAATATGTGTGGAACAGTTTTATGTATGATAAAGCTAGTCCTACATAATCAAGATAGGTTCTTCCAAAGTGATCTTTATGTAGAAATGCAGAAATGCAGAAGGTAAAAGCTACAATGAAGATTGAAGAACAAAGAGATTGAATCTTGAAGAAGAAGAATATATGTTCTCTATTTCATTAACTCAGATGACTTAATTAGAAGAGTATATATAGTTTCATTTTCTTAATAATCACTAAGTAAACTCAGCTTACAAACTAAGCTAACTAGCACAATAACTATCAGCTTATCTATTGACACTTGGGACCATCCCAAGCCTTGATTGCCTTTATATCTTTACACTTTATGGTTCGATTTAAGCAAACAAACAAAGGTTATATATGGAAGACTTCCATCCCATTTCATCGTTTATTAACATGTATAAACACAAGACATAAAATGCATCAATACAATCTATCAGTCAAAGACTTGACGAACATAAAAACATATGCAGTTCATCTGTATCAGTGGAAACAAAACAAAAGACAGACAGACAAAGGTTTGTTGTTGGCTGTCATAGAACATTAAAAATATATAATCAATATTCCAAGGAAAATAAATGACAAAAGAAAGTATGAGAGCTCAAATCAAATCAATTTGTCTTGTCCAAAACCTTGACAACCGATCCAGCTAGAGTTACATTTCTTAGGTTATAGCAGTCATGAGTGCAGATAAGAATACTCCTGAGCCTTGACGATGCATGTAGACATTTAAAAGGCGACGAGGTGATATTTCTAACTATCCATGAGTATATATAGATAAGAACATAACACTGTTCAGCTTCAGAGAATGCTAAATGCTTTATCTGACAAGCTCCTGGGATTCAGCTTCAGGTTTTAGGTTATGAGCTTCTGATACATTGCAGAAACAATTATATCTATATCATTTATGTCAGTCTGTATATACTTCATTTAAAGAAAGTGTTGCCAAATGCTCCATGCTGTTGTAACAAAACATTCTCAATTATATTCCACCAATACCCCAATGTTGTTCAAGAGCAGAAGCAAGTATGGGCTGTAGCGGTGTAGCCCATTAATTAGGGATTTTGAACAAAAGAAATTTGTATTAATTTTTGTTAATTATTTAGCCCAAAGTTGCTCAAAAGAAGATTTAGGAAGTTTAATTTAGGTTAATAAATAATTTTATATTTCAACATAGGTCAATCTTCATTTTGTTTTTTAGCATTGGTCAATTGAAACAATTCTAATCTTAAATTAAGGTCAAAAAACAATTGTCCTCTCTAACTGAGGCCAATAACACTTACTAGAAATTTTCTTATTGACCTCTCCTTAAAAAGCATAAATGTTGATTGACTTAATTTTAATAATGAAATTATTTTGTTGTTAAATCAAGCAATGTTCTACGCTAATTCATCTAAATTTTTTGAGTGCCATTTGAACTTACGTTCAAAGAGAGAAGTACATTGCTCTCGATAACTTGGTTAAACTTAGGTGTGCAACACATTCTATGTTAAGTTTACTAAGAATGAAGGAAACTTTTGCTTTACATGTCTATCTAATCTAGGATCGTTCATGGTGAGAAGTTTATTCTTAGTTACTCTTAGGGTTTTGACACACATATCATTTTTTCTTTGGGGATCCAACCTATCCCTCGCAAGGCGCCGACTGTTCTTCCTTTGCTTTGGTCTTCTCCTTGGTTTTCTGGGATTAAACTTAATACAAATGGTTTGTCTAAAGGAAATCCTGGTCTCGCTGCTTGTGGAGGAGTTTTCACAAATTGTCATGGTCAATTTCTTGGCGGTTTCTGCCAAGGGATCAATCATCACAACTCTTTCTTTGCAGAATTATCAGTAATTATTATTGGTATAGAGTTTGTATATCAACTGAGTTAACATTGTCTTTGGTTGGAAAGTGACTCTTTTAGTGTTATTTCTGCTCTCTAATCGTTTGATTTTGATCCTACTTGGCATCTTTGTACACAATGGTCTATTTGTTTGGACCACGTTTGGAATATGACTCTCTACTCTTCTCAGATATATTGCGAGCGAAATGTTGTTGCAGACAATTTTGCTAACATGGGCCTATCTTCTCCAACTTTGGTATGGCATGATTCTCCTCCGATGGCAGCTCATGATCCTTTGTTTTCAAACTATGTTGGCTTTCCTAGCTTCCACTTATCAAATTAATGTGCATCACAACATACAGGTTTGTCTGACTTTCATATTTTCTTTTCTTAACCTGTTATGTTGCTTGATCTGTTTTGCAGGTTTAGACCTTTAGGTTTGGCTTTAGAAGAGTTAGGTTTCATATCCACCCCCCTCTTTTCCCTATATTAGTATTGTTTTCGTTTCTAGAAGGGTAAGGTTTATGTCTCCCTTTCTTTTTCATGTATGTTGTTTAATCTCTTTTTTTCCTTGTAATATGAGGGATTAGATTTATGTTCCCCTGACTAGTGTAACTTCTTTTTTTCATTATCAGTAAAATTCTCTCGTACTGTCGACGTTTAAAATAAATAAATAAATAAAATTCCCCACGTTCTACGAGCAACAATTACTTTTGGAGATATCAGCTAGATAGTGCTCGGTAGGTCAGATGGCAACTAATATGTGGCTTGGGATGCTTCTTGACGAAAACACCTATCGGCAATTACTCATGCCAATGTTTATACTTATATTTGGCACCTTATAGCATGATTATCATCTTGAATTGACTATAGCATTGAACGAGGAAATTAGTTGCAAATTTGAAGATGGAGTGAAATATATTTTGATTTTGTAGCGCAAAGAAATCAATGCTCAAGAGACAATTAAGAGAAAGACATCAAGAATGGATGCTATCGCTACTGTAAATAAGACTCTCTAACTGATTGTTAGTGATCCTCGACTACATATTTAACTTATCTTTTTAGTTTCTCTACACCCCACATGCTTTTATCTTATTTTTGTATTAAAAATGTATCCCTAATTAGATTTGTATTTCATATTAATCTTTAATTCCCACAAATTATTTTCTCATAGTTAGAGTAACTTATATTTTACCACAATTTATTTTCTCACAATTTACTTTTTCAAATTATTTCTCGCAATTAATTTTCTTGCAATTTACTTTCTTGGATTTTTTATCGCAATACATTATTGAATTGTAATTACTTATCAATTCGATCCATTCGACAAGTTCAATTGGGTTGATGCGATTCACCTCCTCATGCATACATTATCAACATATCAATCACCAAACTCGCTTCCATCCATCCATTCACTAATTATGTAAGCACAAACAACACCCATCTCAACCTACAAAAAATTCTTAGGAATCCACCGTTGTTGTTTTTCCTTTTTTTTAGTCGATTATTTTCAAATATAACTCTCGACATTCTTGAGAATTTTCGTCTTGTTGGAGCTCATAGTATCCTCCGATACCACACGTGAATTTAGAGGAAACTAATTAATATTCAAGGCCATAACAACTTTACAACCCAAAAGCAAGTCTGATCCACTTACAAAACCAGGCGCATGAAGCCTACTATTGTCCACACTATCTGTTATCCACTACCTCCATTCAACAGTAGAAAGGCAGAAACCCAAAGCTCAAACAAGAAAGCAAATATTCCAAAAACAAAGTAACAAGCAAACAACGTTGAGGAAGCCCATTTTATAGAAAGAAGATTGTATACTATTAAAACAAGCTATCGTCACTGGGTGATAAATTTTTTTTTTTATACAGTCACGACTCCCTCGTATACTATATATGAGAATAACGATATGTTAGTAGTAACATATTGCCGTAATATCATACGTCTATTTAAATTAACACTAGAATGCATTCGTGCTTCATTATTTAGGTAGGATATAAATATAATAAATATATGTGTGTTATAATTTGAATGAACTCGAAGCACTACGTGAACTTGTCCATGCATGAACAATAATTTCTCCAATTTACCTTTTATTGACTTATAATAAAGTTGAAGAAAGAAAAGTAAGAGATATGTAGAAGTAGAAGGGTTTATTAAGGAGCCAAACATTCTTTCTTTCAAGTAAAATCATGACAATGGGAAGAAAGATGGATTACAACATCTCGTTGTTTTACCACTTAATATTACAGTTTAGTAATTTTCTCAACTTGTTGTATATTAGTTAACAAGTAACTTGTCGTTTTGCTTTCATGACTTGTAAGATATTCGACAAGTCGTGTAATGCCATTTAATGATATAATATTCTCATGGATGGTGACATTGCCGACATGTCAATTAGCCACTTATTTGATAAGAGGGAATGAGATCCTCTTTGGATTCTTTCCACCAAATTCACCCAATCAATTAATCTGGGACATTAAAATTTGATCAAACGGCTACAAATAGGAGGCTCCTTTAAAAGTTATAATAACTTTAACCGTTGAATCAAATTTCAAAAATTCAGATTAAGTGATTTTATGAATTTAGTGGAAGGGATCTAGAGAGATCCCTTTACTGATAAGAGTACAGACGAAAGTGAGTAATGCAGGAAATAATCAAACAACGTGTCATTTCGTTTTACCAATAGTTGAATTATGGTCACTATTGTTCCTTTCTTTTGTCTGGCCAAAACCTCTTCTGCCCTTATCCAAGTCTTCACCTTACAATTTTTTTTTTTTTTTTTAATTTTATGTCCTGCAATGTAAGTTTAATTTTAAGGTAACTGCAAAGTTTATTTATTAAAAATTAATCAAATAAAAAATCGTTTAGTTATTTAATTGTTATAAGCGGTGCGAGCGAATTTAGTGTTTTAATTGAACTGTGAATTTTTCTATGTTAATCAAATCACTAATTGATTTTTAATTTTCTTTTTTAATTTCAAAATTTGAGTGTAAAGTGTTTATTTATGAGTTGTTGAAGGATGAGAGTTTAGTTCTTAACATCCTATCTTCTGATTTTTCTTGTTGCCATAGATTAGACATTAATCTAGGAATAAGCGTTCTGAATTTCTATATAGACAGATTCAATCAAATACATTGTTCTGCTCATAAGTTTAGTTGAACATATAAACTCACCAACACATTTAGCCAAAATGTCTACAAACATCAAATGCAAAATGGGACACTACACAAGGATGGAACAAAATAAATCACACAATCTTACGACATAAATATTCTGCTTTGTCACCAGGTGTATATCCGATGACACACAAGATTTTCTTGTTACAATGACGCACAAACCGAAAGAAGTTAAAAGAACATAATAAATGAAAAGAGGTCCTTGCACCACCTAGAGGAAGTTCTTCACTGTATTTGTCCATTCCATGTTGGAGTTTGCATTCTTCTAATTACACTCTGCATAGTCTTATGCTTTGGGCCAAGCATAATTATTGGAATGGATGAGTTGTTTGTACCTATTTCTATGTGCCTGCAAAACCCAAAAAGTGTTTAAACCTGATCAGATATTAGATTTGAAGTTTTATCAAATACTTTGATTTTAGGTTGAGTAATACTCACATCATATGCAACAAGAGATCTGCAGTAATCGGTGTTTGTGAGCACTGTACTGCCGGAGCCACACTCACTTTCTTTGAGTGAAACTGTGGACCTATCAAGCTTGATATACGAAGGGTACTGATAACCCTGAGCAGGTGAACTCACATGAGAAGATGACCTCTGCATCCTCACAGCCCTTGGGATTTTCCTTTCCTCCATTGACGCCCTCCGCTGTCGGCTTGGCGGCCCCTCAACTGTATCAATAGGACTTTGCTTTGGTGCACTCTGTGATCGGGCTTTCGCCTTTGAAGATTGTGTGTTGGCCATGTAGTTTGGGAACCAAGGGTAGTCATAGGACAAGGGCTCTCCATAATCCGGCCTAGGGAAGGCGAAGGGAGCTTTTGAGGGATCAATTTTGGACATGGCAGAATAGCACTGAGGGCTGCTTTGAGCTGTTCCAAAAGAGTAGTCCTCAAAATGTGCACTGCAGGCTCCCGGGCTTCTATGAGTCAATGTTGATAGAGCCAGAGAGGCCTGCTGGTCGGTTTCTTGGTTTGAGTATGCTTGATTTGGTGCATACTGAGCTGAAAATCTATGTTGTTCTGTTCTCTCTGTTTGCAAGTGATTTGAATAGCTGCTGTTTCTGCTCTTCAAAACTCCTTTTGATTCACCAAGATCCATCTCCACAGTCTTAATGTTCTCTTCAATTCCTCTGTCCATTTCCTACATTTATAAATAACCACATTGCAAAACATTAGTCTAATGAGAAATTTATGCAATAAGAGAAGCAACACTGAACTTCGAAACTAAACTCAGTTGGTTAAGAGCGTTTACCCATGCACTTGTGGTAAAATCAAAACAAAACAAAGAGCATTGAGCTGGATCATTGAACTTACGTTATATGTATGCCTGGACCGGTTTTCCTGCAAAGATCTTCTTGGGGTGGAATGTCTAGGATTGACAGTATTTTTGTCTTCGACCATCCGGATCCTCTGAGCTCGAGCTCGAGCCTGAGCGGTCACCAATGCCTGCATGTACCTTAGAGTAGCTTTGGCCTGTTTTCTCACCAGGTGACCCCTCACCAATGCCTGCAACTTCACTAGTCCTTTCAACGCACACAGTGCTTTTCTCGCCTGTAACAAATCCAATGCAATAGTACACATTTCATTTTCTCGACATTTGATCATTTACATTACCGAACAAGAGTCAGAGTATACAACGCAAAATCAATTGGAAATAAAAGCAGAGTCCTAGAATCCGCCAGATGGAATTTAAATTCTCCACATCAATAGGGAATCAAGAGTTGCATACCAAATATGAACGGAAGACGGATTGAATTTTTATTGCAGCTGCTTCTTCACTTGCACCCGCCTTCTCGTTGGCAGCTGCCGTTAGCCGCAGCACAGCAGCTGCGGCTTGTGCAGCAGCCACAGCCGCATCAGCAACCGCAGCTGTAGCTGCCGCCATAGCCATGGCATGCTTTTTCTGCTCATAATTCTCAGACTCCAATGTGCTCATGTGTACAGGTGGTGGTGTGGCCGGCACTGCATCTACACAATTGGAGTCCTTTGGAGCAGCTGCTGCTGCTGCTGTGGCTGATGATCTTCTGAAACTCCATCTCTTCTTCTCTTTCAGCGTTGTCTCTGAAGAATTGGAAATTGGAGTGGTGAGATTTTCATGACTTGCAACTGAAGAATTCTGATTTGTGAGGTTTTTTTCCTTGTCTTTCTTCCCTGTCAGGATGCTTTTAAGCCATTTGCCTGTCTTTCCCATCTCTGTTAGCTCTCGTTGTTCTTCTAAGCTGCCATTGATTGACCAACAACGTAGAAAGAAGAAAGCAACAAATGAGAAATTATAGGCAGATGAGATAGACCTCTTCTTTGATATGTAGCTTTCAACAGTGTAGTTAGAAGACACCAGTTAATTGCTAATCTCCTCTAACAGGTTGGAGAATAAGCTGCCCAATAGGCTAGTAGCAGTCAATCTCATGGAACGTATACTATTGGCAGAGATTCCTTGCCTTTCATTTCAGATATATTATAAGCTAGTAACCCTTTTTTTTTTTTTTCCTTGAGGTAATTCTTATTTTGACATCACCATAGATATTATTAGATTTCCGTATCATCAGGCACTCGTATATATTTAGTGGTGTGTTGTTTGTTTTTTGGTGTTTTGGGGGGGGGGGGGGGGGGGGGGTGGGGTGGTTTGGGCGGGTGTGGGGGTCGGTGGTGTGGGGTGTGTTTCAACTTGTGAATGAACATGCTGATCGATGTCAATGTCTTTTGAGTGAGTATGTCGACAAATGCCAACATATGTCGATAACACCGTATATAAAGGCATGAGACTAGCAGCCACATAGGTAATTCGTCGAGGGGGGGGTGTTTCAACTTGTGAATGAACATGTTGATTAATGCCAATGTCTTTTGAGCGAGCATGTCGACAAATGCCAACATATGCCGATAACACCGCATATAAAGGCATGAGACTAGCAGCCACATAGGTAATTCGTCGAGCAGTTAGATGATAGCTTTCAGGGGCATCTCAGATTTTTAAAAGGAAAAACCTAGCTCTTTCATGAAAGATTTCTAAGTTTGAGAGTTTAGTTGATCTACCTTACCTCAATAAATCAATTTCTAATAATATGTTATTTTATAATTTAGTCAATTCAAAAATAAAAAATAAACACTTAACATCAGAAGAAAAAAGGTACATGTAAATTTCTTCCCATCATGTATAGTCATCAAGGTAATAATATATGTAGAATGGGAAGGACCAGAAGGCATGTGAAAATAGGTCGAGCCCAGGCAGCATCCTTGTAAAAAACTCATTTTCTTATTCTTTTTAAACGGGGTGAGGGATGTGTCCTCTCGGATGTTCATGATTGGGTATCTGATTTTTATAAATACATTTGATAGGGCCATATGCGGGGTGTGGGTTCCACGTACGAGTGTTGTGAGTTAAGGGGGTTCTGGTTTTATCACGTGCTCGTGCAAAATCCCAGCTGTTGGAGTTTTTGCTGCGGTTTTCTGTTCTTTTGGTCCATCCCAAGTGAAAGTGAAGAGCTGAGCTATGAATCTGTGATTGTGAGAAGGTTATATTTTGATTCCAAAGCCATATACTAAGATTGTAGGTATTGGCGGATCTAGAATTCTTACATCGGGTGGTCCTAATCAGGGTACGCTAGGCGCTAATCAGATGGTAGACTTACGCCCAGCACCTATATGCCTGGACGGTCCTAGGCGGATTTAAGTAAATTTTTATATATCATAGATTTATAGAAACAGGTGTGTAAACTTGTATTTTAGTGAATTTGATGGTATGAGATGACAGTTCAAGTGATTACGATTTTGTAGTACCTTACGAAATATTTTTCAGATGTCTTATGAATTTATAGTGAATTTAAAGGAAATGACAGTGTCAAACATATAGTATAAAAAGTATTGGTTGAGTAATACATCATCTTATATTAATTAAAATGCTAAGTGACACAACCTCATTAGAAAAAATTAAAAAAGAAAAAGAAAATGGGGAGTTGGTTACGTGTGAAATGGAGAAAGAAAGTTATTTTCTCTTTCTTCTTCGTTGGAGCCAAAGTCCAAGAACAACAGTGCCATGTTGGTCTTCTGTTTGTTAATTTTCATATGAAATTAGATTTTTTTTTTTTTTGGTTCAAAACTTTTGTTGTTCATCATCTACAGTTATAGTGGTCTTCCTTCTTCCATCACCTACCTAAATCGTTGGATGGTCCAATCCTCACACACGCTTCTTCAAACTTTTGAATGGTCCCGATTCATGAGTGGATCCGCTAGTGATTGTATGGTCTAAGCTTTGTGAAAGAGTGTGTGTGGGAAGGGTTAATATATTCCGGATAGCGAAGGCCTCAAAGGGGTCCGGGAGGAAGAGACAAGTGTGATTATTAGGGTTTCTTTATTTGAAGCCACATGTCATGTGAACCAAAACCAAATTGTTGCATGTACGAAATTGTGGTCACCAATCGGTCTTTAGCCACACGCAGACAATCCATACAGATGTAGTTAACCATGGAGTTTGAGCGTGATACTGTTTGGAAGCTAATTAACTTACTTGTTAGCACTTGACCCCTAAGGATCCTACTACCTAATTTGTTAATTCGTGGGAAGGCACAAATCGGAGATGAAGCTTCTAGACTAACCTCTTCCTCGATCTCTGTATGACTTCAAGGGTTGGTCACCAGGAATGGTAGAGAGAGTTCCTTTTTTGTTCATTTGGTCCAGGGAAAATGCTCTTTATTGGTCTCTATACAATTCTAGAAAAGATCTGTTGTGCTCTTACACGGGCCTCGCAATGCCTACACCACTACATTTTGAACTATATGACCATGCTGCAAGGATGGGCCAAGTGAAAGTGAACAGCCCCAAGCAAATCTTCTAGAGAGCGTTAAAAAAAAAAAAAAAAAAAAAAACCTTATAAGGAGTACACAACTAAATTTTGGAGTTCCAATAACAATTATTTTCTTTATTTATTTTTATTGTGCCACTTGTTATGAGTCATGACCCGTTGTTAATTTGACAAAACAATTGTCACGTAATGTGAGAGAAAAATGTTCTCAATATTATTATTATGTTTGCTATTAACTTTGATAGAGTGGAGGTGACATAAATTTTGTACTTACCAACTGAAATCGGGTAGTAGGCGGAATCTCTTGAAAATAAAAATTTGACTTTGCACACTAGACTAATCAAATGAGCTAGTCAACTAGTTACAAGTTAGTCAGTGATAAAAAGTGCAGTTGCATGAGCAAAACCTAACTGACCAATATATTCAACTAATCAGAGTCTACCCAAATTAATTTCACGACAATAATCCATAAACTTAAACACATTTACATATCAATTCATTATGCAAACAACAATGACAAAGCAATTATGAATTAAAGCATGCTGGATTGACTAGTCAAGCTCATCAGCCAACTAAGTACATATTTGTATCAGTTAAACAAACGCAAATCTACGAATCAAACTTAGTTCACTACAAGTTATTTTAGTCAACAACAATTTAGTTCAATGCTCATAATATGCAGGGTAAAATTTGAAATCAACTGTACTGACTAGTCAAACGTACTAGCCAATTGAGTACAGATTGTTAGGTGCCCACAAGCATATAAACCAATCAAACTTATAAAGCAAAAATAAGATAGGGTGATCTTCAATTATGTTTTAGCCTTGATTCTTGAGTTATGCTTACTTGGTTAACAACGTGTCAATATTAGCAAATCCTACAACGTTTATCTCTAGCAATGATTATTTGGTCATAAAGTTTTTTTGCCAGAAAAACCCACCTTTGGGTTAAAAAATCGGGGACTCTCCACTGAGTCCAATCGGCTAGTATAATCAAGGTTCATACAAAGAACACACAAATTCAATTCCTAGATCCCTATCTACGGAGTAGCTTTACCTTTGTGCAACCTTGCCTTACACGAGATGGATTCCTTCGGTCTTTATGAAGTGGTAGCTCCTCCTGAGCTTTTCACCTTGTGGCACCGATATAGTGTTGTCTCCAGTCATCACAAGATGGCAGCTCTTCCTAAACTCTTCACCTTGTGGCACCGAGACTAACATACAAACTATGCATATGATGATATGGCAATGATATGCAAATCTGGATTCGATGTCTAGTCAGTTTCACCAATCAAACACTTCAAAGATGAAACTGACGAAAATCCAAAAACAGGTCAGTTCACAGATTTGAAACTTGGAAAAATTTGACCTAAAATAGAAATCAAAATCATAAAAACAATGCTGGGTATTTAGTGCATGAGTGTGATTTTGTGGCTTGGGTTTTCAAGTAAGAACACAAGAGGTAGCTCAAAACTATAATCAACTTTTTTCTAAAAAAGTAAAACTCCTAGCCAAAATAAATGAGCATATGAAATGAATTTAAGCAAGCAAATTCAAAGATAGGTTTAGAAATATTCAATGAAGAACACTACCTATAAAATATGCTTGATGCTCCTAAGAGATCTGAGATGGAGATGAAGAATAAAGCTTTCAAAAATTTCCAATCTCAAACCCCAAAAACAAATGAACCCTAGATTAGCTTTTAAAGAGGGCTTGATGTTCAGACAAAAAGAGGACCATAAAAGCCACGTGTCAGGTGCAAAATCAATTTGGAAAGATCTAAGGTTGAAAATCCATTTTCGAGAAAAGGCTGTCATAAAGTCTATATATGTTGTCTTAAAGTGTGTGCCCAGCTCGCGTGAAAGCAGTGAGAAGTTTTGACTAGACATAACCACTAGACATAATGAACTGGAAATAATGGCATGAAATGCATATGAATGAACAAATCTTTGATGAGAGAAGTTAAGCTCTTGAAATGATATTTCCAGTAGCATGATCTCATAGTAGTATTTTAACCTTAAAACTAACTAGAGCATGTGTGGTACAATTTACAACATTTGACAAGGGAAGCCAAACAATAAATTAAACTTCATGATCTCCCCTTTGGCTTTCCTTGACAAAATAACTCAAACTCTTTAACTAAATTCACTCAACCTCACTCAAGAGAACACAAAGGACGAATCCTGCAAAGAAGAACTCTTGACAAAGAACAAGTGAAAAGTTATCATGGTTAAGCAATTGCAAGGAAGTAAATTGTTTAGCATATTGTACATGCGTGCAACACAACACAAATTTTCAAATTTGTATTTTTCTCACCCATTTTGTCATGGCAAAGACAAAGGATGTTAAATGAATGATATGCCAGTTTCATTAAACACAAAAAATGGATATGTCAAGTAAGCTCAACAATGAAATTCTTAGTACGAAAATAATAAAAGCACAAGAGCATGTCAATGTAATCAGTTCAAAGCACCTATTTGTTTAGGAAAATCAACAACAATGAAACCAAGAGTAGCACAACAAAGTACAGCAAAAGGAGAGTGTCAAATACAAATAAAACACAACTATTCAAAAAGTAACGTAATAGATATTGAACTCGCCTAAGATTAGTGCTCTTCTAT